GATACATTTAATCCATTGTGAAAAAAATCAACAATTCCACACTTTTACTTTAACATTAACTTTAGGACGGTATGTGCTAGAAATTTATTTTGAAGTAAGGGCATGACGACTAAGAGTTCATCAATTTGCAAAGGTAGTGTCTATGAAATCTCAGAAGAAAGGGGATGTAACGACAACCATTGTTCACGTGTCTGAGGTCTAAAAAGTGTTGAAAAGAGATTTTTAAGTTTTTATTTTAATTTATAGATATCTCTGAAGTTGAACTATTATTCACTCAGGTGTAAATTTTTGCCAGTTTTGGAGGAATTTGTAATATCATCATAAGAACTTCTTGATGTGTATTGTATTTCCTGTAAATAAAGGAAAAAGTATAGTAATATATAAGGTAGTTAAAAAGTATGTATTTTAAAGCAGAATAAATGCATACAGATGTATATGTAAGTTTAAAGGTAAGAGCCAAGGGAATTGAATTTATATAGTTAAACAATGTTGCTTTCGATTTTTCGGAGGTCCGTGTTTGCTCTGCTCCTATTTTGTATTGTTTTATGGACTTTGATATTGAATACTGTTCGGTATCTCCATATCCCTTTTTCTTGCTTCTGTGCTATTTTTTTTTCTTGCAAGAATTTTCAAAGATTATAGTTATTAGAAACGTATCATGCCATTTTCGGAATAATACCTTTGAATGAAAAAAACCCAAAATATATAATGATAAATTATGTTCTCGATGAATTAATATTCATTGGGATTCTGCAAGCAAAAAATATACCCATACCAGATACATGCATTGGTTGTGATGATAAGTTTGAGATATGGAATTGAATATAAGTTGGAAAGGATAAGATTACATAAAAAAATCACCCCTACTTGGATTTGAAAGTATGAAAAAATCAGGAGACACATATACAAGGTTTCATTGTATAAAATATAGGGGGGTCAAATTTCTATGAGGGTCATTTTTCAACGTGTGTGAAGTCGTAGAATTAATGGTTTGGAATGTTTTTCTACAGTCGAAATATGACCCTACTTGTCATAGAATATTGACCGGGGGGTCATTTTTTTCCCCCCGGTCAATATCACTTTTCGTCGTTACACCGGCCGTCGATTGTCCAGGTACTGTCTATTTTTTTCTCCCGCATAAGTCTCCTGGAAGTTGCATACAACTTACATCGTGAACTTGTGAGCGCTTCATTGATAAATATTTTACCCATATTGCTCGGATTATTGTTAAACGGTTTCAAGTTTTTCTTGTTTCTATAGACAAGATCACGGTCATGATAGCTAACGAAACGCACGATAACATCTCTTGGGCGTTCTTCGCTGCAGGGACCAACTCTATGGGATCTATCAATCTTTGTATGGTCATATTGGACATCAGTTCCCTGGAAAATTAGTTTGTTAATAACGTTGAGCACACATTTATCAGTATTCTGATTTGCTCCCTCCGGAATACCAGTGAACTTGAGGCAGTTACGACGGGAGTACTGCTCCATGTCGTCCATCCTTGTCTTTAATTGGGTGATTTCATTTTCCATTGAAATCATTTTGGCCTGCAAGCAACCTAAGATTCCAGATTTTATTGACTCATGTTTAAATATTATGTCCACCGCTTGTTTGACCTTTTGGTCACCTCCAGAGCGTTCTATGTCTTGTAAGATCACGCTCAAATTTCTTAGCTATGCATCTGGAGATTTGCCCGATTCACCCATAATGTCTATAGAGGTGTCTCCTGATGAATCAGGACAAGGTCTCTTATTTGGCTGGCTTGATTTGTACTTGTTAGAGTTGCGATTATTGTTGGTATTGGTTTTTCCCATTTTTGTTCATTTATGTTTATTTATTGTTTATTTCAACAGCCATGAACATACCTTAAATGTACAGCACAATTGGATATTATCACAAGGTATCGGAAAATGGCGGTGAACACTTTTCACAAATCCTTATGCGCAAACAAAGCCATGAATTGGAGCAGTGAAATCCCAGTTTATTACATTTTTTTAAACACTAGACACACGAAGGGATGTCCTTAACTGATTAATCCATCTATTGATCCAATTATAACTATATCCAACCAAGAAATTATGAGATTTGAAGAGATAGTCACAGAGCTGAAAAAATACATCAAGCCATTGTACGGACCCTTGACCCCTTTAATATCAAAATTAGTCTCTTTGTAAAGTTTGTACTTTTGTAGTTCCATCTCTATATGCAGAGGGTTTATATTTTGAGCGAAACCTGAGGTGGATTGCTAATAGGCGATATGAGGATCAACTTCTCACTCGGTGACTCTGGAGCAGATCCTCTAACAACTGAACCACGACGGTGACATCAACATTTATAAGAACGCCATATAAGAGAGGCATTTTTATAATGAAAAAAATAACGGAAAGTGCTTGATCTCGTACATCTATTAAACAATTCAAACCGTGAATAGGAAAAACTAGTGGCATAGAAATTTCTTTTAATCATGCATATTAAATTTGCGATGAAACGTAAAATTGTAACGTCGTTTGTCATTTGCATAATTATTTTGTTAAAACACATTCTGATTGCACATACAAGTACTCGGAAGTTGAAATCAAAAAGATGATTGAGTTTCTGATTGACAATATCTATGTTGTTTTTGGAGACCAGATCTTCCAACAACCTATTGGAATTCCCATGGGTACCGTTATTAGCAGACCTATTTTTGTTTTCATTTGAAGCAGAATTTGTGCAAAATCTAATGCGTGAAAAGAAGAAAACACTTGCTATGGCCTTCAACTCAACATTTAGATATATGGACGACGTATTGTCAATTAACAATGGTAATTTCCATTCCTATGCCGATACGATATATCCTGTTGCGCTTGGATAGGGAGTTTATATATCTTAGTTGATTTGATACGCAAGAGCATGCTCTACGTACGAACAATTTCTAAAACGAGGTAAATTTTTGACAAACAAGTTGATGAAACAAGAATTTCAGCAGTCGCGTTAAAAGTCATCATTTTGTAAGTTCTATGGTCGATGCAATGACCTTTCGAGCAAATGCAGTTTATCATCGAATCAAATGCTGACTAACGTTTTTCATACTAATTGTTAGTCCATTATTTACACTCTGAATTGACGACGGATTTTTCCGTTATTTCCCGATCATGACAAGGAGCACACGGCGGGTGTGACCGGTCAGCAGGGATGCTCACTCCTCCATGGCACCTGATCGCACCTCTGATGTTTCGGAGGTCCGTGTTTGCTCTGCTCCTATTTTGTTGTTATATGGACTTTGAGATTGAATACTATTCGTTATCTCCATATCTTTCTTTCAATCTTGACCCAAAAAGTAGCTAACTAACAATTCAACGATTTAATTATCCAGACGTTCAGAAAAGCGAGAGATTTTATAGCAAAATATCTCTTTGGTAACAAATAGATAACAAATATCATTTAGAATCGAACTAAATTATTTTTTTTTTAAATTCTTGCATGTAGTAGCTTTCTCTTGCAAAAATATCAGAACGATTTTTAAATGCTTTCTTAAACATACAAGAATATGTACATGTATATAGATACATTATTGATGCAAATTATCACATAACTTCATTGTATTTAATTCAATACGGTTTGGAGGTCAGTTTTGATATCAAAACACCCAAGAAGCCCCGTTGAAATTTATTCGTGGCGTTTCTTTCCAGATATATTCCGTTATTTCCCGATCATAACCAGGAGCACACGGCGGGTGTGACCGGTCGACAGGGAATGCTCACTTCTCCATGGCACCTGATCCCACCTCTGATATTTTGGAGGTATTTGCTCTGTTCCCATTTTGTTTCAAGAAATTTTGAGCACGAATACTCTTTCTCTCCATCTATTTCATTCTATGTATAAACAATTCCTATAAGGAGGTAAGTTATTGAAAACAAGTTGATGAAACAAGTATATAGACAGTCACGTTTGGAGTCATCATTTCGTAATCTCTATGGCCGATACAATTTAATGATCTTGTCAGCAAATACAATTTATCATTAAGTCAAATTTTGACAATCCGTTTTCATACTAATTGTGATTATCAAATATTCATTTACTAAATTGTCTACTGATTTTCCCGTTGTCATGTTCATGACAACGAGCACTGTTATAAATATAGAATTAAAAAGTCTTTTTTCTGCTTTAAAACTCAATAACTGTATCAAAACATTCTTTTCTAAAACGCCGTTTGTTGCATATCAGATATTAGTGAGGTCTCAAAATCGGTATCTACGCACATAAGCGAATAGGTATGCATGGAAACAATGTAAAATCCAATGCACAAATGTGCAAAGTAAATGATCTAAGCAGATTACACAATTGTCGATCATTAAAAATACCACTTCTTCCATTCTTACAAAGCTTTAACCATTTGAACATTGTAGTTTTAGATATACGTGGACAATGCAAAGAATATTGAAAACAATTTAGTTAATTTACCTTTCTGCAGACATATGTTTTCATATTTCGATGCTACGAGACGCTTAATGGCAATCTTGACTATCTTTAGACATTGATTATTTATAGTTAGCAATTTAAAAACACTCATAATTCATCCAATCTAAGTAAAAATTTCGCTTAAATCGTTTGAAAATATTGTAACGATAGATGTAAAATTTCATTATTTGTTACCAAGCAAAATTTATATTTAAAGTCAATAATTTTCCTGCTAGTGTTTGAATTCAATTGATTTTTGTTCTCCTCTCCTTTTGGAATCATATTTCCTTTGCAAAATATGACAAGAAAATGACACCTATGACTTGTCTAAAGAAAAAAAAAGAATTAGATTTCCTCTGTTAATGTTAATAACCAGCTACAAACGTGATACTGTGCGACAATCACCTACAGTCAGAGTTCCCTATCAGTATATATAGTTATCGGAAAATTTAACAGATCCAGTAATAAGGCTTGGGGCGGGGACAAGTATTGCAAATGAAGAAAAAACGATCATGATGGAACCAAGAGAGCAGTTCTAAATAATAAACGTAAAAAGGCAGAAGCTTTCTCTGGAATCAGATGTCAAGGTTTAATTCCATTGAATGGACAGCAAATTGACCTATGGATATATACTATGCTATCTCTTATCAATTAGATTTCCTATGTTCTTCATAACGATTCTGGGTGGTAATTCTATAATCCTGTGGATTTACCATTTTAATTAAAATGAATGACAAACTTCCTTTGTTTAATAAATCGTATGGAAATAATGTCAGCTCTAAATGTTTCGTCACAGCACAGTTTGCAAGATCAGATGCAACTAATCAGTCGGTTAATCTAAACAGAGATGAAACGTTGGCCCAGGCTGAAATTTCTGTTCAAGTTGTGATTTTCGTGCTGGCTGTTTTCGGAAATGCAACTGTTTTAGCAGTTTTGTTGCCAAGAAAAAAATCCAGGATGTATTTGTTTATGATGCATTTAAGTTTAGCAGATCTTTTTGTTGCCTTTTTCAATGTTTTACCACAGCTCATTTGGGATATTACTTACGTTTTCATTGGAAACGATATTTTATGCCGGTTTGTGAAATACTTACAAATCGTCGTCATCTATGCTTCATCGTACGTAATGTTAATGTCGGCCATAGATAGGTATATTGCAATTTGCCATCCATTTTTCAGTCATAAAATTCGTTCAGGAAGAGTCCATTTGATGGTCTTTATAGCTTGGAGCTTATCTCTCATTCTTCCAGTTCCACAACTTTTTATATTTTCTTACAAAATACGAGAAGATGGACAATATGACTGCTGGGCTACGTTTGATCCAGCTTGGACGCTGCAACTTTACATCACTTATTTTACATTCAGCGTATACGTTGTGCCGATGATTATTTTAACTTTTTGTTACGGTCGAATTTGTTTCGTTGTCATCAAAAGGAGCCGTAGGAATGAGCAGCTGGCCCTCAGCAGAAGAATATCTAGTTCTTCTATTTATCATGACAATACTCAATACAGGAATATGCAGACTGTAAAGTTTTGTGTAAAAGTAGAAACATGTCGACCCAATGGTATTTCTAGAGCTAAGATTAAGACGGTGAGGTTAACCCTAGCTGTGGTAATGTGTTACTTTATCTGCTGGACCCCCTTCTTCCTGTTTCAACTCTGGGCTGCCTATGATCCTTCAGCTCCATATACAAGTAAGTTAATCACAATATAATAATTTTTTTTCTCCTTTTAAAATAATTTTGAAATCTACATGTTACATCTTTACAAAAATATGATTTTGTAATCTACAAAACAAAAATTCAAATATACATTTAAACATGTTTCCAAAAAATCAGCTTTTCAAAGTGTCAGCTAGATTAAATATACCGAATTACAGAACAATAAAATCTTTTCAAAATTACTATTTATAATTCAGTTAATTATAATGTTTTCCAAAACAATTCGTTCAACGATCTTTGAAGGAAAAATTAATTATGCACAATAGTTTAAAATCAAATCTGAGCAATTTTTGAAAAGGAAGAGATTTATATAGGATAAAGGGAAACCCTTAGTGTTTTTATATGAAATCAAAGGTCGCCAAGAAATCATAAGTTATATTTTACAGTATATAATGTGAAACAATTACATTTCCTTAAATATTACTAGTGCTTAGAGGTAAGCTAAAACTTTATTGATTCAAGATATTTTGCAAATTAAACTATTATTAACAGAATACAATTCGCTAAATTAACTTATCAGAATATGACATTTATATAAAGTAAATACCATACTTATTCAGATATTGGTTCGCTCACACTTAATTGTGACGTCAACAAAGGAGATACAAGCACAAGATGTAAATTTTGCTGTTTCTGTTGTCAGTTGCGTGGGTTGACAACTAGCAATACAAATTCCATTCAAATATGACACCTTCATCAGTTTGTGTTCTGCTTATACGAAGGAAATATAATGCTATACCTCATGATTCAATCTATTTAACTTTTACAATTTATTTAAAAAGTTTAAAAATAAGAATAAAAAGTGCACTTGAACGAATTAAATTGAGAAACTCATGTATTCATGCATTGAAGCAAGTAAATATTGTTATGGTTTTTTTTGTTTGTTTGTTTGTTTGTTTTTTTTGTATTTTTTCGATAGGTGATTGTGAAATAATAACAGATATACTTATTTAGTACATATATGTAAAACTAAATATAATAATTGATAAAGACTAAATGTGAATTATCATAGCACCACGTCACAAGTTCTGATGTGAAACGACTGGATTTTATAGTGTGAAAACCTAAATTAAAAAGTTTAATTTTATATCTCAAGTTATAGGTACAATTAGAACAGGATTATACGGGAAAGTACTAGTTCCCTCTCTAAGAAGGAAATTCTTCAAAATCATATGTCAGTTTTGAATACATGTATAATTCAAACAACTAAATTGAACTTGAATACCATATCCATATTGGATTCCAAACTTTACAAACACAAAAGCCTATTTCTTTACTCCTATCTTAAATAATTACAGTAGTGATAGAGGAATTTCAGGAATAATGTGCAACAATTTCTTGGAGAAGTTGTTTTTAATCAGGTGTTGATACTTAAAAATTTCAAAGAACTTTTGGAAAATTAAATAAAAATCTTTTTTTTTACCAAATCCAAGGGCATAAAAACTTAAGACTTTTCAACTTTATATACAGCTATTCCCCACAATAAATAAAAGTCCAGAATTTTTAGTATCATTAACAGCTGCTTTTTCAATTTTCTTTTCATTCTTCTTTTGCAAATTATTTTGTAAAAACATTTTGAATGTTGAAAAAGTACTCTGAAGATGAGCTTGAAATAAAACACGTTAATGGTTATCTAATTACCAAGCTTTATGATAATCGTGATGACTTTAACTTTTCAATCGTCAACTACTTCCCTTACTTATGCAGTAATATACATTCATCACCTGCACACGGGGTTTATATCTCTTGCAAGAACATGCTACACGAATGAACAGTTTATAAAACGAGGTTTGTTTGTTTGAATCTTGTTTAACATCCCTCTCGAGAATTTTCACTCATATGGAGACACTCCACCATTTTCCGATGGAGAGCTGAAAATGTAATCCTATACTCGGCACTCGGGGCCATTGATCTTTTTCATGCAAGCACCTACTCTGAAAAGAGACCGCGGTAAATACAGTCTTGATCCGAAGGACCGGTCTCCACGTCCCACGAGGGGATACTAGAGCAGACGCTCTAACCACTGCACCAAGCAGCTAAAAGAGATAAATTATCGTTTAAAGTCATCATTTCGTAACTTCTAAAGTCAATGCAATGACCTTGTCAGCAAATACAGTTTATCATTGAGTCAAATGCTGACTAAAGTTTTTCATACTAATTGATAGGCGATTATTTACACACTATATTTTCTACGGATTTTCCCGTTATATCCTGATCATGACAAGGAGCATGCGGCGATGTGACCAGTCAGCAGGATATTTTCACTACTCCATGGTACCTGATCCCACCTCTGATTTTTTGACAACAAATATCAACATACGAGAATTTTGCATTAACTTCGTGGATAATTATGTTTTAATTAAACTAAATGGTGCTAGATATACTTTAATTATAGAAATTGTCTACAAAATTTTATGTACAACCCTTGTACATTACCAGGAGTTTTCAAAATTTATTAACTAATAAAAACTCTTGTTTTTATTGAAACACAATTACCAAACAAATAGCTAAACCTATATTTCGTGAAAATGTGATGCAGAAAAAAAAGTTTACAGCATTATTATACCATTATAAATAGCAAAAGGTCCTTGCATAATTGGAACTGAGAAATTATTAAGTGAACAAAAAAATGAAAACTACGCCTAGTTTGACCTTTTCTTAAATTTTTTTTTGAAAACCATTATTAGATTTCTTTACCTGTGATTTCTTGTTTTTCCATCTTTCCAGGAAATTATTGAAAGGAAGTTGCACTTGCTTGAACTTATTTTTCATTTTATTTTATTACTTCTGTCATTAACTATAAATATTGAAGGGATAAATTGGTAATTTTTAACTATCTAAAACAATTCATGCTTTCGTAAAAAGAAATATGAATTCTTTTTTGTGTAAGAAATATTACTGACTAACCTCCAAGAATGAAAAAGTAACCTGAAAATGATCACAATTATACAATGAAATTTGCTGCAATTAAATATTTCAAATTATATAAACACACTCAAATTTCTAATAATACCCCCTAACATTTTATTATCGGGGGGAAATATTCGATTACGGTGATTACAATTTAAGATTACCATACATTTAGGTTAACCCAGAGAAATGATGTAATTCTACTGGTATTTATATCCAAATTTCAGGTACTGCATTTGTCATCATTTTGTTGTTAGCCAGCTTGAACAGTTGTACAAATCCCTGGATCTACCTAGCGTTCAGTGATGGCTTCATGGACAGATTACGGCGCTGGAGGACAGGTCAACCGCCCGTCTCTCACTGTGTCCTCAGCGGATTTCCTAACCAAACAACAACAGACGGGGCTTTCCTATAAGGCACAAGACATTCACCCGGAGACAGTTTTTTAAAATTAAGAGAAATATATATTTAAAAAAAATTAACATGATTAGTAATACTAATTTTTTTTTAAATAAAAAAACCCAATCACTTTAGTGGATTGTTAATTATGTTTAGACAATTTCTTTTGCTTAACAGCCTGTATTGATCTTATATATCAAATGTTCCCTGCAATGACTTTCAGCGAATCAAGGTTGCTACAGATACCTACTCGTGCTTTTGTAATTCAATATTGAAACTTTTTTCCTATGAAAGATATATAAATCTTTACAAGTAAACTGATCTACACTTCTTTCATAATATCATTTAATTGTTGAGTATTTTATGGGAATTATTCCCCATAACGACGAGATTGAATCTTTGAAAACTTGAAAAGATCCAGCCTGTTACATTGTTTTGACCTTTACAATAAAAACAACATAATCATTAGGTCGCAATATGACTGACATGCCTCGTACAATTTTTAGACTATGTATGCGCTTTTTTACTCATATATTAAATTTTCACCTTTTACTAAATTTGTCTACAGAACATACTAAATACATACATAACAAGACGGATGCAACAGATCGACAAGGGATGACTACTACTACTGGGCACCTGTTCCCTTCTCTGTAATTTACGGGGTTCTTGTTTTATAACATGTTTACGGCATTGTATATGTATTTTTGTAGTTCTGCTTTGATAGATCAATGTTAGTTTTCTTCACCTTCCTAATTTTAGTTTAATGGTATATAGCAAAATCAACAGACGAATGAAAATGCATACCATAATTGATGAAATATCATTGAATGTCGAATAAAAATCTGTTGCTACAGACTTCTACTTTTTAACTACAGAAACTGTTGAATTCATTATGCTTAATAAAAATGGACAAACATTTTGCTCATTACTGGGCACAGTGAGTATCATCTGGAATTCAGCAAATTGTAGGAGATTGTAGGTGTTTGGGATGGATCATTGTTCATTACCTTTTCATTCTTGGAAAACTAAGTCTCCACAGACAAAACAGATGTTATTAATGAGGAACTCGCACATTTTTTCAATGTAAATCTATATGGTGGAAAATCTTTTCCCTCAGAAGATAGAGTCTAAAATTTAATACGCGTGGATCCTCATGTAGTTCAGAGTTTATTCTCCTCACGATATGCAGCACCTTATTAAAGCGTTCTAAAAGTCTGGAATCGCGAAGAGTTGACAAAAAGTTGTTGAATCTCTAAAAGGAATTGCTGCATGATCCTTCACTTTCTGGTAAGGTCAGTAATTGCACAAGTTGTGGGTGAAGCTGACAGAATTATCACGCTTATATAATTGTTCTTCAATAATCCGTGGCAGAAGTCGATATTCATTATCAATTCCATCCTTCGCAATTGAGGCATAAATGGCATGTTTTCAGGATTGAGAAAAATTTCCCACACGCTTTTGTCACGCATTTTGTTGCGAATAAATTGTTGGGTTTTTTCACTCCCTGCTATGTCATGCCTTAAAACAATAATAAGCGCTGCAGTTCTTTATGGTGGTTAATATGTCGGTCTAAATTGTTCATTTCAAAGTATTAAATTAAAGAAAAACCACTGATTATTTTAGCATAAAAAATTATGTTGCTTTACAGGAATTTTCTTTTTCGTGTAGATCATGTAGGTTCATTCCTTTATTTAAAACAGAGAGATAATAGCCAATATTCAAGCAACGTCTAGGAATACAGGATTGCATTTCAGTGAAGCATGTACATTACCAATTTCCATACTTTGAAAGTGCCTCGTTGAATAATCTTGGTTGCAAACACCAGATTCCTTTATCACAAATGCCACAATGACTACTTTACAAAGGTGCGTTACGTAATTCCCTCCTCTCTAAACTAGCAGACGAACACACTGGTACATGTAGGTTGGTTCTTGCAATAGAAATATTTCAATCTTGGGTTGATGTTTTAAACCAGATACGCCAAACTTCAAAAAACTTTATCAACTACAAATTTAAGACTTATTTATAATAAAATCTGCAAAAAAATTTTTAAAGCAGAAATAAAATAGACAAGACACGGATAGCTGTCTAAATGTTGCTTCCGATTCTTTAAAAAGTCACATGCTAATCAGTGGATGTGTTTTCAACTTAACATTAAATATATTCATCTGCACTGCCTACAAGTTTTTTAAGATTGTTTTTCCCCGAAATTATACCAAAAATATGTAAATTTGATCACTTCTTGAGGTAAAAAGAATTGGAGCTCTATCTAAAATATCCAACATATAACAAATTGACAAAATAATAGAATCTTAGAAGACGTCGCCTTTGATTTAATACAAAGTCATTTGTGGTTAACAAAAGCATTCATCACTTTGACATTCAAGACAATTTTGGAATATCTGAGCAAATAAATGGAGAATGTGCCATATATTTTGCATGGTGCATGATAAACATCAAGATAAACATCAAAATATACATACACAAAAAGGAAGATGCAGGTTTAGATTTTATGAAAAGTTACTAATTTGTAGTTATAATATCGTTTGATAGGATTAATACTTTCAAATCAATATTTTTCGTTGCAATTCATGAATATGCATCCCAATTCTCACTCACTAAATTATACCTATAGATTTTAAAGACATTTTATTACTTATTTTAGATGTTAAATTATATTAAAATGGATGTTTTGTGGTCCAGCGTTTCATTTTTAAAAGAATGGCATTCTTATTTTCCATATTGTAGTTCCATTTAATAATTTTCTGTCTTTCTTCCTAATAACTCTATTTTATTACCAGAACGTTAGCTTTTTTACGATCCGAGGTCTTGAATAAAGCCTGTTTATTGACTTTCGGATGGACTGATATTGACAGGGGTTATTAAATATCTTTTGCTGTGACAGTTTATATTAGATTTCATCAATCAAAGTGATAGTTTGTATAACTTGTATCACTTACAATAACTCTAAGATAATATTTGCTAATTTTCTCTATTTCTTTTGTGCATATTTAGATGAAGCTTGAATAGTATTTTTCTGTCTGTTTTTCGTCAAAACCTTTTGGCACCTCCTGATTGCTCGAAAAAGAGACTTTGTACGACATGTTCAAATTCCATGAAATGTCATATTTTCTTCAAAATGAAATTTCTTCAAATATAATATGAATTGTGAAGATAGGGAAAACAAAATCTCGCTTATATGCCAATGAAACAATAGTTCAAACACAGGGAATACACAGACCATATCGATTTATATTTAAACATTTAAATCTGGAAAACGAATTTGGAGGATTACACGATCAATTCCAACCGAAAAAAATAAATTTGGATTAAAATGTCTTAAAAAATGTTTATGTAAGACTTAATACTTTAATTGTTAACAAGGAACTTGAATTGAATTCTACAAGACTTAGAACGAGATGCTTTCCAACTTATACTATTTGCTTCGCTTCGAGGAAGGAAAATCTTCAAACTTATATGTCAGTTAAAAATGTTTAATGATCTTTGATATCAAATTGAATTTGCATTATCATATCTTTACTAGATATCTAAACTATAAAAGAAAGTTTATGCAAAATAGATACCTAGCAGGTTAAAATACATATATATATCCAAATGATATTATATATGGTAACAAGTAGAGCTTTTCTAAAAAGCTTACCGTCTTTAGCAACAATCTTAAACAGTAAACTGATCTACACCTATCAGGCCGTATAATTCTTTTCAATTTTGTATTTCTACATTAGCTTTTTACTGGCATTAGCCCTACCACGGTTGTCGCTCGGTCATCTCCTTAAACTTGACTGACCGAGAGCTTTCGGCAAACCTCGGCTGATTCCATTCCCTTTTTCAAACAAGAAAGGGGAAAAGAATAATAACAAATTGTAAAGCCTGCAAGCTATAAAAATCAAATTTTATTTATAATGAAATTAAAGAGACATATTCATTTATTGCTGTAAAAAATACCATGTTATTAAGAATTAATTACTGCTGATTTTGCTGTTCGTTTTGTCATTTTTTTTAAGATTGTAAATCTTGCAAAATTGTTAAGTCGTACGAAAATTAGATCATCAGAAAGTTATCTCCCTTGCCTTGAACAGCATTTCAACCAATGAAATAATTGAAAATTTTCTCATCATGCAATTTCTACCAATCACAAAAGAGAGGAAGTGCATAGTCCGAAGACTGTAAAAAACTTCAACTATACAATACCGTCTTCCAAGGAAGACGGTAATAAGGAAAAGTAATCAAGATACTAATAGAAAGTCCATTGAGACAATGTAAACTTGGAGAAGAGCAAACAAAGTCCTCTTAAACACAATAGAAGTGTGATCTGTTGAATTGGAAGATTAAGCATCCTTTGTCCATGAGTAATAACCACAGTGTGCCCATTCTCATGTCCAGGAAAACAGAAAGATCTGTAGACAATTCAGTGTGATAAAGGGGCTTATTATTTGTATGGAAAAGGATTGCAAATATTCGACTTAATGTTAGATTTATTTGATAGCAAGTTAATTCCATCCACTATGGAAATTGCAAAATGCTGATTGTGAACATTCTTGTTCCATCAACTAGTCTGAGAAATGTTCCTTCTGATATAGATGTTCTTGCTTATCGAAACAAATGGGAGACAACAACTCCAAACGTAGATGATACGGGTATATTACTACATAAATAAGGGAAACAGACGATAGAAAACTCAAAGTCATCCTGTTAATCATAAAGTTTACTGGTAAAGTTACCATTGACGTCTTTTTCTAGTAAGCAATTAAAATATGAGACAGTTGTGTCAGACTCTGTGGGGGAAAGGTGTTGACGTTGAAAAGTTTCTGATTAATACCTATTTCATTTTTTATGTAGGGCCTTTTTGTATTTGACCTGGAGTTTTATATTTGGCAGCTATCATTAACGTGGACCTCAAAATTTTAAGGAGTATCATGGGGGTAATGTTGTATCTCATAATGTGAAAACTAAATAGCTAAAAAGAAGTTCTGAGATTTATTGCTTATATTGAAAATGGATAAAGAAAACTCTTAATTTTGACAGTGGATGTTCTTGAAAGGTATTGGCAACAAATTTAAAACAGCTATACTGATTAATCAAAGGATATACACGTAACAAAAGTTATACATTTTGTGAAAGGAAGGACCGATCTCTTTGTTTGGTTTGTTTTATTCATTTTCTTGAAGAATTTGATGCAATTTCTAAAGGCTCGTAAATTCTTACCCAGTGATTTTTACTTTGATGCCATATAGATATGTATTCTTCTGATGATCAGAAATCATGGTTTTACTAGGTTCAAATTTAAAATATTGAGTTTCTAGATATGTACTGCAAGAATGGTATAAAGCCAAAATTTAGTCTAAAATTGTTGTCTTTTCGGATATTTCTGACGAGAAAATACTTAAACTCTGCCAAATTGTAGAAAAATCAGAGGGAATTTTTCCAAAATTTTTAAAATAAAAGATCTAGCTGATTTTACAAAATGAGATACAGAGTATCTTAAAATAAATCCTGATCGGTATTTGGCATTTTTCTCTTTTTTCTATTGAAGTTAAATTTATATGCCTATGAAAGTCGTCTGCAATCAGCAACAGCAAAATTCATCAACAAGAATATTCTTTAAATTTTATGTAAAGGGGAATTTAACATACATATATATAAGGAGTTATAAAAAGTGCTCAAATGCTCAAAGACATATATCTCATTATACCTTGTTTGCGGTTCACTTGATTTTACCCATTTATTGTAAATAAATGTTCAATAAAGTTAATATTCGGACATATTTTCTGAATTATTAGGTTCATAGACATACATGTACCATATTTGATTGCTTTTATATTTACACAGA